TGAACCATGCAAACCATTCAAAAACCTGAGTAGCTTGAAAAGATGGATTGAAATTTGAATAAATGTAATAAAAAATGCATTACCCTATCACTGAAAAATATATTCATAGAGATGAAGTTACTTAGAAATTAGACTACATAATACCATATCATTTGAGAAACGTCTTCATTCCGATTTCAGTTTCATTTCCTTTTCGTAAACCTCAATTTATAAGCTAAAAATATCCTCCGATTAAATCGTAACATTTTCGTCTACTGTTTTTCATTACTATTATTTTTTCTTGGATATCATTTTTGAGAATTTAGTAAAATACGAAGCAGAAATTAAGACGTCCTTCAGATATTGTTTATTTACTGTTTCAAAAATCAAAATTATTTACCTTGTTGGATTTGAGATTACAAGTTATATTGGTCATTCATAAAAATTAATTTCTTGCTTATTTAGTTGAGAAAAGTTATAGCATATGTGATTAAAATATGGACTTCTTATTAAAATTTTATTAAAGATGTTTTTAATTGGTTTGAAATGATATGATCTTATATGATCACCACACAAAAATTACGGGATTGACACGAATTGACCGGTGATTTCATGCCAAACTGTTTGTGCCAAAATGTTTTTGACACGAATATAACATATCCCTATCACATTCTCTATGGATTTAGGTGAATCCCTACAAAAAATCTACGTCAATTTCCTTACTTTTTATGTGGTGTGATAGATATTTTTCTACACATTTTTAGTATTGTCTAATTCTTGTCAGACCCAATCTAACATGATCTCGTTTGATTTGATTTGATTTAGGTATTATAGGATTTCAAAGTGATCAGTCTACTATAGTAAAACAAAGACGATTGGGTTATCTTGTTTGTTTGGGTTTTAGATTATTGGGCTATCTAATGATACTATTTTATACGGAGCATATCTTTTGTGCTAGAATTATAATTTCCTTTGTTACAACTCTCACATCATTCATAAAAAATGCATATTATTTCAAACTCATTGATTTATTTTAATGTAGTTAGAAGTATATGAAACTTTACTGCACACTTTAAATTATAAAAAAGATTTAAAATAAAGATTATAGTTTCATTCTTACAATATTAAACATTGATTGTACATCAATAGTTTGAAATCTTATTTTAGTTCAACTCACGTCGAAAATCTGAAATACACTATTCGTATTACACAATTTTAACTCGAATAAGAAAAAGGAACACTCAAATATATCATTTTCTTTCTCCACGATTATTCTTATTTCTCATCCACGCAATACCCCTTCCTTTATCAAACACACATATTCCACATTCTTACGTCACATAAATAAACCACCATCCATCTCTAGACGCGCACCGATCAACTAAACCTTTCCGATTAATTGGGGTGTTTGGTTATTGGCCTATCAGCTATTTTTTGGCCGATTTGACCACTATTTAGCTTTTTGACCAAATAATCAGCTAATTAGAATGTTTGGTTAAATGGCTTTTACATTTGGCTTTTGATCTCAAACAACCAAAATATGAAAAGCCATTAAATCTCAGCTTTTACGATCGGCTGTTTTGTATATTCCCATGTTGGCTCCTATCTTTTCCTTACGCAAGTGCTCCTACTTGTTGCTAACCAAAAACCAAGCTGCAGTCCAAGAAAAAAACTTTTGTCCTTTTATGTCTCCTATTTTTTGGTACTAAGTTTAATTTTATTTTTTTACTAATAACTCCAATAATTTTTTACTTTTTATTAGGTAGGAAATAGTTCATATTTTTTAAAAGTTGTTGTATATTCCTTCTATTTTTTAATGTAAATTCACTAAAATTGTTCCTAATTTTTACTTTTTTTTGTAATATATAATAATAAAATGAAATAAGCAAGGTATTTTGATTGAAATGATCTTGCTGCATTCATACATTTTTCGTTACTTAACGCATGCAAAATGAATTCATTATCGACTTGGCGTGTTTGGTTATAAATGGTCTTACTACTTAATTAAAGAATGACTATATGCGTATCAGTATCATTTTTTGATACTACGTTTAATTTTATTTTCTTACTAATAACTCCAATTATTAATCAAAGTATCATGTTGGTGTTTCTCTAAGAAAATCAAAGTATTATGATACTAATTACATCTATTAATTCGTGAAAAAATATAATTATTAAATATACGTGTAAATACATTTTAATTAAGTCTGATTCGAGGGCTGGTGGTTGCTTGTGGTCCTTTTGTCGTTTTACCTCCTATCTCAATGTTGTGATATCAATTTAAGTCATCCGTTTTGACGATAAAAAACATGCATTTTACTTTTTTTTATCATTAAAATGGTTTAGGTAGTTATCTTTATATTATATAAAGCAATTGGGCGGATAATTGATTTTGCAATTTTCCCTCCAAAAGTAATTGTGGTACTCAATTGATTTTGCAATTTTGTAATTGAGCGGTTTGGTCCATCTAGGCACACAAATAATTCAATTAAAAGTCATTTATTATTCATATGACCATGTATTTTTATTATATTCTATATACATATGTGTAGGAGCAAAGTAACCATTAGTACGTGATATTATAATAGTAATATATACTCCCTCCGTCCATGGATAATTGATTTTGCAATTTTCACTCCAAAAGTAATTGCGGCACTCAATTGATTTTGCAATTTTGCAATTGAGCAGTTTGGTCCATCTAGGCACACAAACAATTCAATTAAAAGTCATTTATTATTCATACGACCATGTATTTTTATTATATTCTATATACATACGCGTAGGAGCAAAGTAACCATTAGTACGTGGTATTATAATAGTAATATATACTCCCTCCGTCCATGGAAAAGTTCTCATCTTTATATTATCTCTTTATCTTTATATTATATAGAGCAATTGGGTAGCCAATTGATTTTGCAATCTCCCAGCCTAAAGCAATTGAGGTGGGCAATTGATTTTGCAATTTTGCAATTCAATTGTTTGGTCTATCCAGGCACAAAATTAATCTTTATACTCCGTATTATATAGAGCAATTGGGTCATTTGTATGGCCAATTGATTTTTCAATTTTCCCGCCTAAAGCAATTGGGGTGGGCAATTGATTGTACAATTTTTAATTCAACTGTTTGGTCTATCCAGGCACGTAATTTATATTGTATACATATGTGTAGGACTCAAATAATCATTAGTAGTATATTATAATAGTAATATATACTACCTCCGTCCGTTGAAAGGTTCTTATTGCAAAATGTCAAGATTATTTAGACAATAATTAAATATAATAATCAAAGTATATCTTGAAAAATAAATTTGATAGGTATATAATATGATGAGGTTAATGGTGATAATTGTGATGTTATAAATGCATTATTTTTAATATATGATGATTAAATTGTAAGTTAAGAGTGTTAATTGTTTCCTAAAAGATAAATGAAAACTTTATATGGGACGTCCAGAAAAAAAGTGGGGACCTTTATATATTAGACAGAGGGAGTGCTTTGTATATAGCGGGAATAACAAATCATTTTGACTATTTAATTGCACAAATGTCACGATGACATTGGAGATGATGTTGATGAATGATGACACCAAATTCGATTTGAAGAAAATGACAGACATAATAATTGATTTTCCAATTTTGAAATGGAGTTGTTTGGCCCATCCAGACATGCACTTAAAAGTCATTTACTATTCATATGACCATGTGTAGTATTTTCGTTCTTAAATAATTGTAACATTAGAAATTTTACACTATTCACATGTTATACTCTTACTATGTTTTATTTTATTAATGTACTAATAATTTATTTATAAACAATACTATGTATAATTAAATTCTCCTCATTCTAAATTTTCAAAAGGTGATTTTTGTGGTTTAATCAGTTTTTTTAGATAAAGTAAGAAATTGTATTGTTTTCATAAGGTGCTCTACTATAATTATGTTTTATTTTATTGATGTATTGATAATTTATTTTTAAAAAATACTTTGTATAATTACATTCCCCTCGTTCGAAATTTTCAAAGGCGATTTTTCTGATTTAATCAGTTTTTTAGATAAAGTGAGAAATTGTAATGTTTTTTTTCATAACATGGTCATTGATCGATTTCATAACACTTCAAGTATGGAATAAGTTTGTAACAAAATTATCAATCAATCTCTTTTTATCTCACTAATGTGTATTGAGTATTCCCGTGCAACGCACGGGTTCATCGTCTAGTACCAATCATGTTAATAAAAAATAATTCATGTCCTTAAAAGTCATTTAACATGATATCAGCTGTTCGAAAACAAGGATTTAACCAAACACTAATTTACAGACAGCCAATCCAATCAGCTAATCAAAACAACCAACTGAATCTGTTGTCATTAATGAGCCAACATAACCCGCCAACGGCCAACAACTAACAGCCAATTGCCAAACACCCCCAATATAGCCTTCCTTCCCGTGTTTCATTAATTGACTTATATTTCGTAATGAGGTAGAGTAAAGAGTACACTATAATGCATTTGATCTTTTTAAGCACATAAGTTTGAGTTCTTAATTTTAATTGAGTACACCCGTTAGATTAACACGTTAATACGGCTGAGTTGGCTAACAGAATGCTAATAGGTCGACTTTTTGAAGGTCGACGCTAGCCCCCAGTCGCTTGATCGACTCCCCCTGGTCGAAGTCAGTCCCCCGCAGGTCGACTTCTCCTTGTTCGATGCACCCCTGCTGGCCGACGCCCCCCACCCCCCGCAGGTCGACTTCTTAAATTTGTATACTTAAAAAGATCAAATGCAATATAATGTACTCTTTACTTCACCTTGTACAAGTTGATGTACTTAATTGACCCTTTCCTCATTTCTTAATCTTGATTTTTTTACAGATATGACTCTTCATCGGTTCATGATCTCCCCCAAAACTCCGAAGTAGAAATAGGTTTTAGAACTCAGTTACATCAATAGTCTTGAGAAACCGTAGATATGAGGATACAGCCCCAAAAATGATTAAAAAAAATATTAGCCCAATATTCTTGTCCAACAAACCAAAGGTCCAATATTAATTAAAGGCTTGAGGAAGCATAGCAAACATCTCTGGAGTCCGGATCCATCGACATCTATCATCCACAAACGGTTGAACGCTTAGCCAAGTTGCCGATTCTCTTCCCGGTTTCATCCTCCGTCAGGCGCCAACACGCAGCACATCAGCAGCACCGCAGCACGCCTCTTCAGTCGTCAACTACTCACATCACTCCCGTCGCTCAGTCGCCTGCTCTCCGCCACTCAACCTTCAGCGGCTCAGTCAATCGGCGCTTCCCTCAATTTTCACATCCAACCATTCGTAGTCCCGGTATTTCTTCAGTCCTCTTTTATTGATTAGCTCAATAATAACTTAGTTCATTTTTTTTATAAATATTTAGTTAAATACTTAAATTAGTAATATCGTTGTATGTCGAAACCTAAGAAAACCCAGAAACTCATTTTGATTTTCCCACACGCGTCACCAGAACGACAGAACCATTCAGAAAAAATATAAGATAACAAATCTTTACCTAAGATCTCAAAATGGCAGAAATTTACGAATGTTTTTATTTTCAGAAAACTTGCCACCCTGCCTGTCAAAAATCACTCGAAAAATCGGTTAACCTAAAAGTGGGTTTTTTGTATATTTGTTTTTTAAGAGGTTTTTATTCTGGTTAGAAAATAATTGGACTCATTATAACTTTATATCATTATTATTTAATTGTTGTACCTAACAACTGGATGTCGTCTTTCTGGTGATCAAAATTAAACATGAAAAGCGTATTCAATGGAGCATATTTCTATATTTCTTTGATTCATATTTTGTTAAGGAACCCAATTTATGTGGAATTTGTTTTCATAATCTAAGCTTCATGTACCCTTCAATTTATGTACCCAGTAATATGAAACTTAAGTACCAGCAGTAGGGTTGAAGGCAAATATATGGAAGTAGTCAAATTTGATCACAAAATGATACTGAAAAAAGTATAAAATTCTCCTAGTTTCTCTACTACGTATTTTGGCTTATTACAAATTTAATCTGTAATATAAGTTCTACAATTTTTATATAAGAAAACCAAGTTATTAAATTAAGATTATTTTTTTTAATTACAATTTTTTGAAGTAATTTTTTTTAAATGTCCAATTGACCAAAGCACATTTTTAAGATTCATTAAGAAACTAACCTCAATATACTCTCAATTGGCTTAAATCTGTTTAAATTTTGAACAGAATGTATAAAAGAAAATATTAAAGAAATCATTCATTATGTAAAGCTTAAATGAATGTAGAGATGATTATTCATCACTCATCAGGAACATCTTTAAAACCAACGACATATGTGAGGCTTATAGAGTTATATTGATCATCTTTAGCTTTTAGATAATGCTTCTTATGAGGACAATTACTTACTTACTTACTGGTACAGATAACACTCTACCGTAAAATGTTTGAAGCTAAAAATGACTCTTATTAGTGATTGCTAATGAACCATCTAGCAAACTGCAAGTAGTAATTCAAATATGTTATCAAATGCTAAATAATCTTGATGCTTAAGAATGTTAGAAGCTAAATATTACACTTATCAGTGATTGTTATACCATCTAGCAAACTGCAAGTAGTAATTTAAAGATGTTATAAATGTGTTATAGGAAGTATGAAATGGTCAGAAAACGTATACATGCAGAGTATGAAATGTTAAAAGTAGAATGCTAAATTTTCTTCGTTTACTTAATTTACTTTTGTTTAAAGTTAAAAGATACATACCTTCTCTTAAGTCTCACCTACAACCATTGGAAATGAGTCAACTTTGACAACCGTAGAAGTACTCTAATTTAAATTTATGGACTATCTGGGATAAATTGTATTTTCCTGAACAGAGTGTATCTAAAATGGAGTGTCCAATTCCATTCAAGTGGATGCTACAATTTATCTGAAGAAGCTCTTGCTTGAGTGGAATTGTTTTTCTTCTTTTGTGCAGGCGTTTGAAGGCGAACATGAAACTTGATTAAAGATCCATGTGATGGTAGATGTGAGTATAGTTTTTTATATATAGGCAGCAATGAAATTCAAAAAGTAAAGGTTTATTATGTAGCCTTTAATTGAAATGCATCCACAGTATTTATTCATCGAAAGCTACATTGGAAGAGTTTCTAATTGAAGAATTCCACATTGAGAACATGTTAGGAGTCTAGAAGAATACTTCAAAATGGCCTCCAAGCCTCACTCCATATGTAATTGCATTAATTCTTGAACCTTGAGAAGACAATTAATTAGTTTAAATTGTTTACACTCTGTCTGCATGTACTTCGAGAAGCACAACCTAGGGGAGAAAAATACGATAGTATATACTCCGTATAACAAAGAATACAAAATTTAATTACTAATGCTATGGAAAAAGATGTACACATCTCGGTGAATCCAACAGGCTAATGCAATTAAATGCTTCGAGAAGCTCAAGACACAATATTTAAATCTAGCAGTCTTTTTATTCATCCAAGACCTAGATAAATGGAAAGACATCATTGCAACCAATCATTTTCTCTTTCTTCCTTTATGTCACTCGGTATTTTATATGTAGGTGCATCCATAGTATTAAAGAGTTCTAGAACAACTGAAATACAATAATCCTTAATTAAGTGATTAATTGTTTGGCCTGAAAACTGCTGCCATGCAACGGTGCAACTTCCTTATTTTCTATGTACGTTTTTTCCCGCCCAACACCCCTTGTCCTCCCTCCTTGGGACTTTTGTGTTTTACTATATTATATAGATTTCAAATCCCAACATTCAAGAAGAGTAAAGGCCAAAATGATACAGTTTTTACTGTTGCTAACCGGATTTTTTTTTTTGGTGTTTACTTTCAATATTTGAATTCCTGTTTAGGGACTACTCTTTGTATGCTATCAACTTGTTATTCAATTATTTTTTGAACTACTTGTTAAGCTGTTTTTTATTAGTTTTATACATCGTGGTTAGATTTTAGCTTAATTTTAAGATCTTGGTGTAGATGCAGAATTTAAGCCAAGATTTTGATAATGAAGTAATAGAAGTGTCTAGCGATGGCGCTGTTTGGGATGTGAGAAACGAAGAATATTCATATATTTGATGGTGGATGAACTTAACAAGTGGAATATAAAAAGTTAAAAACCACTACTTTCACTAAAAGTGCTTGGACCCGAATCAGAGATGAATTTCAATTTCTGATTTTTTTAATCAACAAAAAAATTAAAACGGTTTTCAGAAGAGTGGCAATAAAAAACTAAAAACAGTATTTTGTTCTCTAAAAACCAAAAACATAAAACTCACAACCATACCGAACGGGGCCTAAATTATTTGCTTAGTTTTAACTTTTTAGGTACTTTATTACTTGCGTTTAAATTTAATTGATATAGATAATAACATTTTAATATTATGATATGATTTTATAATTTTTAGATTATCTATGTATCAATTTGTAACACGGGGTGGTGGGTCTTCAAAACGATGAAATGGAGAAAGTAAAATGCAAAAACATGTTCGTGTGGAATTCAATCCAAATGATATTGTGAGTGATCCAGGATTACGTAAGCCTATCAATGATTTTGACAATTTCATTAGAGACCAACTATGAAGGGAGCACTTAACAAGAGGTCCATGTGGATTGATTGGTCATGTTTGCCTCCGAAAACAATATGGTAGAGATTATAGATCTTTCCAACCTACACGTTTGAAAAATTTCCACGGTTGGAGTATAACATTTCAAAAGATGTCATTTTTTGTCTCAACTTGTTTGAGTTGTTTCTTCTTCTAACAATGAATAGTTGTCTAATGTACACGGTATGGCATATTATGTATTTTTCATACTTTTATAATGATTTCAGTGTTGCGAGTTTTGACATTCTTTTTAGCCCCCCTCAAATTTTGTTCTGGTTCTGCCCTTGGCCACGATATCTTCTTTGGAAAGGAGTGCAGATGTTTTAAGGTTTTTGTCTAGTTTACACAAGCTTTCAGGGATTACATTTAATGTTTTGGAAGTTGTGGCTCATATTATTATCTTAAATAATGTAATAAGTTGTTTATTGTTAAGGTTCATGTCTCCATTTTTTGTTAAATTTCATATGGGGACAGTTAATAAATTCTATTCGATCCTTGGAACACAACACCCGCACACCATGTCTAAAAGCAAAATGACGAGAGGAAAGTGGATACATGCTAATTTAACTAAAGTCTTTCCAAAACTTTGCTATGTAGTTAACACTTAGCAGTATCCAAAACAGTAGACTTAATTTTCATTTTGTGCTTCGTAAGTTGCAGCGAGCTAATGTTTCATTTTTTCATAACACAGACAGGTAATTAGCTGGTCTAGAATATGGGACTTCTTAGCATCATTCGAAAGATTAAGCGGAAAGAAAAAGAAATGCGCATTCTTATGGTGTATGTTAACAATCTAATATTCTTTTTTCGTTTTGCCTGGTATGGAGTGTGGATATATGTAGGAGGTGTTTGGAAAATGGTGTTTCAGACTTTCAGCAAAAAGTAGCGATTTGATTCTTGTTAGCGTTTTCAATAAGTGAAACGTTGTTTGGTAAATACAAGGTAGTCAAAGTCGTGAGGCGCACTTAAGGTGCTAGAGTACTTCTATCGCCTGAGGCTCAAGATGTAAAAATAGTTCACGCGACTCAGGTCAAGCCCACTATTTAGAAAACATTATGTATACTATTATAGAGTGATGAAATATGGCATATTCAACATCATACTGAACTAAATGCATTAAAAAGTCACGATTCACCAATATAAAGTCTCTGTTCACAAAAACAAACACCAAGTGATGTTTGGCTTAGCTGATTTTGCAGTTTTAGCACTAGGAGTAGCATAAAATATATTAACTGAGTTGAATTCTATGAAGGTTTATACTGTTATAATATGAAATGATAATAAGAAGATATAGACTTATATACTGTATAACATACTTGTCACGGCGGTAAGTCGAGTCGCGGCGCCAGCTGACCGCCATATCGCCTAGGCGACAATTAGGCGACTAGTCACCTATATGTGTTTCATTTCATTTTCATTTACCCCAGTGCCACAAAGGCTCCCACCTACGGTGGGGTAAGGGGGGGGTCGGATGTACGCAATCTTACCCCTGTACTAAAGCACAGAAAGACTGTTTCCGGATGACCCATAGTGAAAATCCCGTCCAAAATTGCATGGACTGACTGCTGCTTCATAACAAAGAAGCGCAAAACTATATTTACATATATAATTATATATTTACATATATAATTATATATTTACATATATAATTATATATTTAATTATATATTATGTATAATATATTACTAAATAAAAATATTTAAGAAAATAAAATATCATTATTATTATATTTTATTTAAGAAAATAAAATATCATAGGTTAAAAAACTAATCAAACAAAACTAATCAAAAACATCATAGAACTCTTATTTTAAAATAGAAGTATCACATGTTAAAACATAAAAAACAAGGTCAAAAGTCAAAACAACAAAATTATAAATACACAACTTAAATTCAAAATAATAATAAAAAACTGAAGCAAGAAGGATCTGGGACATGAGAACAAGAGAGTCTGGAAGTTATCTGAGGGAGGGCGAGAGCACTCTGCCAGACTGTGACTTCGTCTTCTTTGTCTGCCTCCTGCAGTTCTGCGAATCTGCGGTGCTACTTGGCTACGACTATGGGCAATTAGGCGTCCGTAAGGTAGAGTAGAATACCATGGGCTTAGCTTTTAATTAAAATCTGAAGCCTTAATTAAATTAGCTTCCTAAAAATAATTAAGGCCTAACTCTATATCTACTTTTATCTGGGTCGGAAGTTCTGGCCCAGTTTCGTCGACTTGGGAAATAGGCGAGGAATCCATCACCAACACATCGACTTGGTGACGACTTGGTGAAGCCAAGTACGCCTGGGTTTGTTCTGGCGAGTCGAGTGAAGCCGGCGACCTTCCCCCACCGCCTGGACGCCTAGTCGCCGACTTGGCGACGCCTAGGCGATGGCGTGACAACCTTGCTGTATAATAAGATGAAATAATAGAGTACATATAATGTAAACTGTGTAGTCAGGTACACATAATATATTAATATGTTTGAGTTGTATACAATATATTAGAAGCAAGAAGAACTATAAAGAATGCATAAATGTTTGGAACTGTTAAAACTATTAGATTAAATAAAAAATAGACTGAAAGACTAAAATGAAAGGATCAAGAATAAGATGACAAAACAAATAAAAACTACAAGCTGAAAAAGAAAGAAGAAATAACTAGGGAAGATGATGATGAAGAAGACACCTTATGAGTTTTTGGCTTCTGTGGGTTGATCGTTGAATGCCCGCTTCAGCGCTGAGCAAGTTGCGCAAGTAGTGCACAAAGCAGCATAGGAGATTAACGATGAAGTCACGATACAAGACTTTTACCGCTACTAAATCTTATTATAAAGATAGGCTTATTATTTGGATGGGCTAAGAAGGATTTAACATGGGTTTAAGTTGTTATGACCTATTATTTGGATGGTCTAAATCTTATTATAAATATGGGCTTATATTTAAAGTAGGACAACACAGAAAAATAGGCTGATAAGCCTTTACCAGCCCATGCGACCTAAGCGTGCGTCTCAGACAGGGAGCTGCGCGTGGCCATTGTTTAGTCGCTAGGGCTCATATGCGCTGTGCTTGGAGCGCTCGCTTTTGATTATCTTGGATAAACAGTTGTTCGGCCCTAGCATTTTTTACAGAACGACTGGTATGGAAATGATGTAAATTGCAACATTTTGGATTAACGTTTCGGAATATGGCATTTCCTACTAATTGTTATGGCCAAGCAACTAAATTACCAAACATCTTCGCTAGTTAAACCCGATGTTTGAATCTGCTATTAATAACCTGCTAACATAGTCTGCTAACTGCTAAATGCCAAACATGCCCGTAATGTTTTTTACAGCTGAAAGTTTGTTGCATTATATTCACTTCAGCTACTCACACCCCTCAATACTCCATCCAAACAAAGCATTAGTCCTACAACTACTTGGCAATTCCCATTATCCGTCCACAACCTTTTTATACTTTTGGTGGATCACTGCCTTTCTTTTCCCATTTTGGGATGCTTTTACTTGGACTAAATTAGTGAAATTTGTTGGTCTGGTCTTGTCTGTTTAAGTCTGGTCTGTTAAAGTCTGGTCTTGTTCGTTAAATGTCTAGTTTGTGTGTATTTTATAACTATGGAAGTTTGGTCTGGTTTGGCTTGTTTAAGCCTGGTCTGGAATTGAAAACAGTCCAAGTAAAAACATCCTTGGTCATCACTGCACACCTCTCTTGTGAAAGTTAACTGGAAATTGAACCAAAATTGACCAGATCAGTGTCGGGAAGGACCATAAGTGGCAAAAATTTATAGTCATGGGACTAACTGTGGGAAAAGTAAAAGTCAGGGGCCGACAATGAGAATAGCCTAGTAGTCATGGACTAATGGGACCAAATGAAGAATTTTCTTCTAATCATTATCATTACTATGTTATTGTTGTTATTTGTTTTTCAGTGGCTTGGACAACTCAGGTAAGACTACCATAGTTTTGAAAATCAATGGAGAAGACACTAGTGTCATTAGTCCTACACTTGGATTCAACATCAAAACCATCTCATATCAGAAGTATGGTCTAGTTACTGCTATTATTTCCCCCATATCTACAACTTTTTTGTTTTGTTTCCTACATGACAAATGCAAGTCCCTTGTCTGGATTACTAATACATAATCCTCCCATTCCCTAATTAGTTCCTCAGTTCCTCTGGGCACACTTATTGATAGAGACCTAAAAAAACACTAGAATAAGCATACTATTAAGTCTTTTAATATTAATATTGTACAATAAAAAGGGGTTAGGCCCTATAACTAAATAGAAGTGAGCTGGCCCATTAGAAAAAGAATAAATAGGAGTGCGCTGTGAGTAGAACGGGAGGGAAAATTCTGTTAGGCTTGGGTTTGGGACTTGGGAGAGGATACTGCTCTAAGTGTCTCTCTGTATCTTTCTATTTCCTTCTATTTTTGCTACTGAAATTCTGAGATCATCATCATTCTACTATTAATTACTGCTGCATTTTGGGAGTCTCTATCATCTGGTATCAGAGCACTCGCTTCCTGGAGGCAAGAGTCTGAAATCTGAATTGATCATCCTGGAGCATCAATGAGCTGCAGTGATGAAGGGAGTATATACGCCTCAAATGGAGCAAAGCCTGGACAGTATCGAACGCAATCTTGGGGAGGTGAAAACTACGCTGGTCGAGACGCAGGAAGGGATGCGCGACTTACTGCGGCAACTGCGTCGCAGGCGACCTCGAGTTTGATCGCGAACAGTTAGGATCCATCGACAGTCAGAAAGCAAGGGCTCAGCTCCTTGGTTCGTTGTTTTTCCCAGTTCGCAGTCGTCAGTGTCTTCTTCCTGCTTGCCAGATTCGCCGTGAACAGTATCTCCCACCTGTCGTCAACGACCAGTTCGAAATTGTCGACTCCGGCCACCTCTCATAGTTCATCGAAGCTAGCCGTTTCTCATCATGCTCAAGCTTCATCAGTTTCCAGAACCCTAGACCAAGCTGAATCCGAAAATGGATCTCTGGGAACTTCATCGCGAACAATGAACATTGAGTTGAGGTTGTCAGAACCGAAATCCCAGGTTGAGGAAGTCACAAGCGCAGATAAGATCTATGATCCGACTCTAGTGAAAGCTGTGCCAAAATCTGTTGATTCATCTGAACCATATAAAAAACTAGATCAGGTCATTTTTTGTATCAAACTTTCTGGACCTGCTTTATTGGGTGAAGGCATGGCACATACAGTTTATTTTTGTAAGGGAGATCATGAAACAATTAGAAGGTGGTTTGAAGGAGTGTTAGCGTGTGCTGAAACAGACTACTTATCATTTCCTTTGAGGGAGAAGTATGTTGCTTATGCTGAAAGGCAGGACCATACTCTGGTGGGTGAAGGCTTTGTATTATTCTGGGTTGCCCTAGCAAAGCAATTGGTGTATAATGATCAGATTAGTACAATTGAAGGATTAGTGTCAACTCACTCAGAGGTCAAGTTTGGGATGATGTTGTGTAGCAGAAAAATAAAATCAACGGGGTAAACCGTTGCCAGATAATCAACGATAAAAATATCGTTGCCCAGAGCCAAAAGGCTGAAACCAATTTTATTCCCTGGAAAGGGATATAAATAGCCTTCTAAGAGAAACCCTAATCAAGCCCAATTTAATTAAATCCTAATTAAGCCCATAATAACTCTACTAAGTACTCTACTAATAATAAGCCCAAAGTAAAACATAACATTAACTTAATAATAATAAATAAACTTTAACGACAGCCCTAACCCGGCCCACGGACGTGGGCTCAAGTCCGGTCCCGCCACATGCTCTTCCCGCTCTCTATCAATCCATCCTCCAAAATAACCTTGTCCTCAAGGTTGAAATCTGGAAACCGGCTCATATTTGTCCCCGAGGGCTGCTCAGTATCTTTAGGAAAAATTGAGATGTACTCCTCCCCAGTCCCTGTCTGTTTGCCTCCGGGCAGCCGTTTAAAGCAATTGCCCTTAAATCGTGAGTCAAAATGAGCCACCAATGCCTGTGTAAGCTCATCCCATGACATGACCGGCTTTCGTGCCCGTAACCAGGTCAACCTATGTAGAAGAATCCAGAAAATATTAATTTATAATATTTTCAATTTATTGCATAGGCTCCCAATGATTGTATAAATACCAATGTATGTCTGAGAATAAAGTATGCAATTCAGTTTGCAATTCTCTCTTCTTCTAAACTCTATTATGGTATCAGAGCCATAACCAAAACCAGGGGCCCAATAATTTCCAGTTTTCCACAACCCAAACCGACGTGGAAATAATAATCCCGGAGGTAATAATATGGGAGGCAGAAACAATTTCAGGAGCAATAATGATTCTAGAGGTACAATTATATGCCAAATATGTGGCAAACCAAACCATCTCGCTCTTAACTGTTGGCACCGATTTGAACAACAAAATTACCCTCCTCAAGCTAATACTGCGGTGACCAATAGGAATGGGTGGTTGCTCAACTCTGGAGCCTCGAATCATGTCACCAATAATCTCAATAACCTGACCTTGGCTTTAGATTATACTGGCACAGACTCTCTCGTTATTGGTAACGGTAAAGGTCTTGCGATTGCACAAGTTGGAAATATGAATATTCATTCTCTTTCTTTACCTAATACTCTTTTTGTTCCTTCAATTCATACTAATTTAATTTCTGTTGCCAAATTATGTCGTGATAATGATGTGCTAATTGAATATCACCCCTCTTTCCTTTTTGTAAAGGACCGGCGAACGGGAGCAATTTTGTTACGGGGTATGAATAATGGGGATATCTACAGTCTGCCGGATGTACCGATTCCTTCGTCTCCATGTGCTAATGTTACTACAAAATATTCTCTTAATAAATGGCATTGTCGTTTGGGTCACCCTGCTCTCCCTATAACTCAAAAAGTTATTTCTTCACTTGGTGTTTCATTTAAAAATGTTACTAAGGATATCTCTTTATGCACTTCATGTGCAAGTAATAAAAATCACAAGTTACCTTTTACTAAATCTTCACTTTCAAGTTCTGGCCCTCTTTACCTAATTTTTACAGATGTTTGGGGTCCTTCTCGCATTACTTCTGTAGACGGTTTTTTGTTACTATGTTATTTTTGTTGATCACTATACCAAATACGTTTGGTTTTATCTCATCAACCATAAGTCTGAAGTGACCTCAATTTTTCAACAATTTAAAAAAATTGTAGAAAACTTTTTTCAAAAAAATTTAAAAATGGTTTACTCTGATGGGGGAGGTGAGTATGTCGCCCTAGGGAAATTCCTGAGTTCCTGCGGTATTTCCCATTTATTAACCCCTCCCTATACTCCGGAACATAATGGTTTTGCTGAACGACGACATCGTCATATTGTTGAAACAGGGATCACTTTACTTCATCATGCCTCCATGCCATTTAAATATTGGTCTTATGCTTTTCAAACTGCAGTGTATCTCATTAATAGACAACCTACAATGTCTCTCAATTTTTGCACTCCATTTGAAAAGCTTTTTCAAAAAGCACCTAATTACACAAAACTTGCTATTTTTGGGTGTCAATGCTTTCCGTGGTTGCGTCCTACACAACCCACAAATTAGAACCTCGATCCAAACCTTAGTTTTAAAAGGCACGAGACGGCTTGAGGCGATTTCATTGATTTACCCGAGGCGCTAGGCGCTAGGCGGTGAGGCGCGCGCCTCACGGATCTCAGCCACATTTCTTTGGTGAAATATATTTTTAGTACTTCTACATGAAGCACTCTTCTCAAAAATACTTCAAACTATTAAACAATCTTAATAAACATCATAAGAGAAACAGAATATTCATTAAAGATAATAAGACAGAAGCAAGAAATATATGTTTAAAGGCATAATTGCCAAAAGTCAAGTTACAAACTCAATCTTAAAACTTCAAAACATAACTAAAAAGCAAAGTAGCAAACTCGCAAGCACAATTGTGAAATCTAGGCCTAGAATTCATCACTGTCATCATCCTCATCATCGAGAGTAGCAAACATTTCCTTCATAAACAATTAATAGTCATTTTGTGATAAATTGAATAATTAAGTTATATAAAAACTGTTAATAGTAATTTAAATAATTAATGTAATAAACTGTTATATAAAAAATTGTTAAAAAATCTTAAAAATAAAAACTGTCATTTTATGCAATACATAGTTAATAAATCAGTGTTCTAACACTACAATATACAGAGTATATGATATAGTATTATGATATTATCATTGTTACGGAATATACTACGGAGTATAAAATAAAACATATTTAATTAATAAACTATCACATAAATACAATTCTGTAAAAAGAATCACAGACAGATTTGTAAATTTAAATAATTTAAATAATTTTGTAAATTTAAAAACTTAAAATACTTAACTTTTTTTCAGTTATCTATCAAAACTTATAAATAGCGAAAGATAATACTATACCAGTTATCTAACTTTTATTTAAATAATTTTAATACGTAGTTTTTTTATAAATATAACAACTTAAAATAATATAAAATAAATAGCAGAAGACAAAAAAGGTAAACACTTACCTGCGACGCGAGATAGCAGCGCAACACAAGTTAAGTCGGAAGACTCAGAGGCTCAGAGCTACGCCAGATATATCGGAAGACCAAAGGAAGAAGGTAGAAACGAAGAAGAAGACTAGAGAGGAGTGAGGAGTAAGGAGCTTACTTCCCTGAGGCGTCAATTGCGCTCGCCTCTTAGATGCGCAAAAGGCGCGCTTAAGCAAGAGAGGCGATCGCCTCTAGGAACCTGCACCGCCTTGGTAAGTAAATTGCGATGAACCTAGCGCCTATATGCGCCTAGCGCCTTAGGCGCGCTTTTTTAAACTAAGATCCAAACCATGTATTTTTCTAGGGTATTGTGATCAGCAAAGTGCATATCAATGTCTTGACCCAGCTACCCATCGTATTTTTATTAGCAGGCATGTCATATTCAATGAGTCTGTTTTTCCCTTTTCTCAGACCGTAACACCTGTTACTAATCTCTCCTCGGAGATTGATAACTAGCTTCAACCGCCTATTTCTTATCTT